AGAAATGGTGAAAGCGCCGGACACATTATTTTGCCTATAACGTTATAAAATATCTAAACTACAGCAACGAAAAGACTTTTAAGAAGTAAAATTAAAGACAGAAGACTATTAATTTGATGTTTTAAATTTACCCAAAATGGTTTTATTTCTACGTTCCTTAAAATCTTTTTTTTTTGATGTAGTAAAAGAAATTACCATTAGTACAACATATAAGTAAATTGAATACGTAAATTTAAAGGTACATCTCAACTTACTAAAATCATTAACTAATTGAAAATCATTTTTCATCTACTTTTTATTTCGACTTCTTAGTAATTCACAAAGTCTATTTAAGACCTTGTTATTGGTTAGGTACTAGAAAAGTGTTAAATCGAAGAAGTTGTAATCACATGTGAATGAGAATATTAAAAATGAAAAATGGTATTGCATTTCACGATTAACGCGTTAATATGTTATAAATTAGAACTAAATAAAGTACTAGGCGATAACAACCAATAAGTATAACCCATGTCAACCGGTGAAAAAATTTAACCAGATGTTTGGATAGTCTTGTTGTCATGCCTGCCTAAAACATTTGTATTGGCATCGACTAAAAGAAGAATCGTCCGTGCAGCCCCCTATTTAACACACCGCCCATGGTCGCTTTTTGAATTGTTGAACCGATGAATCGACCACGTCTGACCGTTTTGACGAAAAGGGCGAACATTTAGGTCTTTTGAAAAAAGCCGAGAGCGGTCGAGACATTCTCGAAAACTAGTAAGAAGAATGAACAGGCAGGCAACAGACGCAGGTAGACAGTTCAAGCAAAGAAAACCAACAACAGCAGGAGCGACAGATCGACATTTTTCGGCTTTGGGAGATTTTCTAGAACTGGCATTATATTATTTGTCTCTCTCTTTATCATCACCAAATGATGGAACTGAAAAATACTTATAACAAGCGAGACAACAACAACAAGACTAGTTCGACTATCGGTTGGTTCCAAGATTTATGACAATACAATTTACAACTAGGTATGCTACTACTGACTACCAATAAGTTGTTACATCCTGAGGGCACAATACGTAGAAGACGTAAAGACGTGCCTCAACAGGCGATTTTGAAATATGGTCTCCAGCCAGACAAAATCTACAAGCAACAGCACACAACAACATAATATAAACACCTCCTACCATTCCTTCAGGCGTTAATTGCATATTTTGACATAACTGTCGAAAGCTCTCGGTAAGCATACTATCATCGTCGACAAATCGTTTCGGTTTATGATGACGTTTGACTTTTTGACATGAATTATAGACCAAACCACAGCTACATTAAACTAATAAATCACTTAATGATTTTAGAATAAATATTATTAGCCACTTAGGGACCTTAGTCCAGTATCCTTTCGTTATTCTACATGGCACTTCACAATTCCACAAATTTTATCGCACTCATGAGTACAGATTATGACCAAAATCTAATCTACGTCCATCTCCAACCCTCATTACGTCTGTTTCTGATCGAATAAGACTCTAACCCTTGCGTCAAAAGAATTTTTGAAATCTTCAAGGAAGAACGCAGTTGGGAGTTATCGATCCTGTCTCAACGATGATTTTAAAAAGTTCATGATTCTTTTTTTTCAAAACATGTCCATCTTGAAATTTTGTATTCGCCATACTGTCCTTATTAATAATTCATTAACACTTAGTGGAAAATAAAATTTAAAGGAGAGATAATTAGTGATTTTTGAGTTACAGTTTATTCTTAAACTGTTGCAATCAATTCCTTCAAATAATTCATGAAATAAAATGAAAACACTATTTAAATAGTGAAACAAAACCAAGTGTTTTTATTTTATTTCATGAATTATTTGAAGAATGTTTCACCAAGGGCTAAGCCAAGTTACAATGGATATTATTAATTCCTTCAAACCCTAAACTGTTTAACAGTATCGTTATCAATGAATTTCTGTTAATTTCGGCAGTATCTACCCATAAATAAAATTGGAGTCAGAACAACTAGGTACATAGCGTTCAGTTTTTTTTTTTTAGTCTTGGAAGTACCTCCCTTTCTACCCTTAAATAACATAATAGATGGGAAAAATTCTTCACATCAAAAATAGCTCGTGTTCCGTTCAGAGCCCGAAGATGCGGTTAAAAATCACGTCTCGAAAATATTTCATCGTGGAGACTTCCTGTGAAGCCAAGAAACCCATAGCCAGCATCCGACATCTGGCTGCCATTTCGGCGCATTGCTCCATCTCGCTTCAACCCTCGATGACCTATCTCGACGCTTTCTCTCTCTCACACCCTCTGTCTGCCGTTTCAACCCCGTTACAACACAATCGACAGCGACAAGGGCTGATATCCACTACTACTACTACCACCACCCCTCCCTCTCGCAGCCCCCGGACTGACTGGCCTACCCGGCAGCGAAGCATACGATATTATACACCGTTTCTTCACTCACTAGGTCACCTTTGTTACCCCTCAAAAACCACCCTAATTGGACACACATTATTATTTGTTTGAGTGCCTGGATTTAAACCGTACCGTGGTGGTGATGTTTCTGACTTCAACGGAAATTTTGTCAACTATGATTTACATGGGCGGATATTTTGTTTGCGATTATTTGCCCTATTATTATCATTATTTTCTGAATTTACCTCTAAGATAAATACTGCACATATTATTAATTGAATCTACCTCTACTAGATTGTAATCCTGTTAGATTTAAATTAAATTAAAACACTTTTAATTTTAATAATTTTATGGAATATAGAATTCAACAATACAACTATTACCTAAGCACGTTTTAAATATTTAATTGCGAGATTATTGACGACGAGTTATCAATTAGGATTTCCTTGGTGATATCAGTTCTAATTAATTCCATACGATTATACTTCTCTATCTATGTCTATAGGTAACCAAATTTTCATTTTCCGTTATTATGTGTATCAGTACACGTTTTCTTCTGTTTTTGTTTTTCTTTTTTTTTTTTTGATAAGTACCTACCTACATTGATATCACGAATCGCTCCGCTTTACAGCCGCGGCGTCAACATTGCAAGTCGAAATTCTGGCGTTTTATCTCTCAAAAACAAGTTGTTTAGTTTTATCGTGTTGTATACATCTACATAACGTATAAATCGGTTTTCTTTTAAAATGTCACGTAGTCAAAAATTGGAAGTTTAGTGGGCCAATAAATTATGAGACAGGGCTCCGATTTTATAGCAGCTACTTCTTGGAAAAACTACCCCAGAGCAGCGGTACGAAGGCTTTGACTATGATATACAATACTACTACCTACGTTGGCAAAGCCTTTTATGGTTGTCCAAGAGTTTTACTTTTGGAAAGAAACGTTTTTATGATGCTCGTCTTCCACGGCCCTTTACAAGAAAAATTCTTCAAGCAAGGCCACACGATAACATACCACAAGAAAAAATTGTGGATTATTACAAACACTCAAAAAGTTCGTCTTAAAATTGTTTCCGAAATTCCTTGGCATATTTTCCAATTTTTTACTATCCATAGTGGCTTTCTAGGGGACTCATTAACGAACATTATTAGGTAGTATCGATGACTTACCCAGGACCACTTTGCCTATATCCTTGAAACGTAGTTTGCTGTTGGGACTGCTTTAGACTGTTCTGATAAATAGAGGGACCTGTGGGGGGTTGCGTGCCGTTGGCGAAGCCACCGTGCGGTCCTGACTGGCTAGACGTGGTGACTCCCCACACTGTGGTCACAACTGACAATTGTTGTTGAGCTGCGGTGCCAGTTGGCGACCAGTCCCTGAAACAGGACGGTCTAATTACTTCCGGAACGAACACTACATTTTTTCAGTAACACCAAGCAGATTTTCGAAAAGGAAAAAAAAAATAAATGCAAAAACACTTTTTTTCACAAATCACTAATAGGTGTTCCTTCCACAGTGGTTTATTGTGGCACAGGATTAGAAACTGTCTTTATATATCACTTCTTGGAACCCATCAATCACTTTTTAAAACACTTAATTTTTATTAAACCGTTCCAAATTTTTTATCCAATTTAATTTGAAAAACTAAAAAAATAATACGAAAGTTGTTTGGGTGTTGTAAGGAATTATAGTAACAAATAAATTAATCACTTGAGTCCATTTAATCGAGCAATTTGTAGGTTGATATCGAAGCCAAATTTTTTATTAAATTACAAAAATGCACAACATATATTAAAAAAAAACGAGTTAAAAAAGTATTTTCCGACTTGTTTTTCAAAATATTCCGCCAAACAGCTGTTTAAAAGTTATGCAGTGCATTACACGCGTGTTCGCAGATTGCATACTTTCAGGTACGCATATTAGATTTTTCCGCGGTGCCTTTTAAACAGGCGAACGTGGTTTGACTTTTACGATAATCTGAACGTTTTTTAAAGGCCTTTAAGTAATTTTATGATAAGCCTTGTGAATTTCGTTTTGTCTAAAGGTAAATTTTGGAGATGTCAGTCAAGTCGAAACGATTTTGAGAATTCAGTGTGGTACTATATTTTATTTCTTTTTGCGCGTTTTTACAATTAAATTTAAAATTGCGAACTCCTTTTAACTCTTGTAAACAATAATTCGTTTAGTTAATATTGAAAATACGAACTTATTACGGGAAGTATTACTGATCTAAACTTTCAATTTTTCAAAAAAAAACCAATTGTAAAACACACTTTGTAACACTTTCAACACTTGGCGCTTAAAGTAAAAACTTTTGGTAAAACTCCATGTTTTTTTTGTGGTGGATAATTTTTACACCATAAATCAACTTTATAGACTAAAATAAACACTTAACACATTTATTCCTCCACTTTAACAATTTTACGCACTTTATTTAAAAAAGACACAAAACTTTTTGCGACACTTTTTTTTACTTTTTTATGTCAGAGATTTATCTAATTACGCTGTAAACGAGTTTCTAATTTTTTTTTTTAAGTTTGTATCCACAACGAACCTTGTTACAATCACCAACTTTTTGAGTTACACGAAGATATTTACCTATAAGTGTATCCCAGCATTTGACCGCACTCATAAAGGAAGTAGATTTCGCAGCAATATAAACTTTATTAAAGATCAATCGAATCGCGACCGAATACGTCTCATATCTAACTTTGAAGAGTGTCACACTATCGGCGAATCGTATCTACGCGCGTGTATACTCTACCGCTACCAGCATTCAACTGTCTTCTGCCTGTGGGAGAAACAACGGCACGTAGTCACGGTGGTGGGGATTAGGGGAAGTTGACCCGAGCAGCTCATTCTCCTCCATTCCGTGCGGCCACAATATCGGTTATAGAGCGCGACGTTGCCAGATCGGTGCGAACAACCGTGGGTGGATCGGCTCCCGTCCCTCTACACTCACACAACACGCAACTTTATGAGAGGATTGTGGATCACTTGGTGTTCTTGACTGGCGCGGTATGCGCCGCGACTCAACGGATTGCCTGTCGTTGCCGACGTTCTGTTGTGCTGTTGCTTGCGCTCTTTACCATTACGAAAAATAACTTTCATAAAATGTACGTGAGCTAGAGCGAGAAGGCGTTAAGTGGAATCTTTGATGAGAACAATGTAGGCATAACGACTTCGTATGATAAAAAAACATACACTCTGTCTAACATGTACTTATGGATATGGATACGTCTGAACTCTACATGTTCCTATTTCTAGTCTTAGTGCGTTCAACATGTAGTCGTAAAAGAAAACTCAAATGTTTTGTATCAGTAGATATTTTATTTTTATGCAGAACTTCCGCATCATATTTCTAGTTTTAGTGTGTTCAGCACGTAGCCGTCCAAGAAAAATCATGTTTGGTATCAGTCGATATTTTATTTTTATGCAGAACTTCCGCTTTGTATTTGTTTAAACTACAATAAACAAATTGTGTAAGATACTATCTAAGAAGGCTCGTTCGAGTATCTAACTGATCCACATTATTTATATGACATCCAATTTGTACCTAGTTCTTCTTACTTTTTTTTTTTGAGCTTATGATCCTAATAAAGGGAGGCTTTGACTATAATATGCATAAATAAATTATTAGATGTACTCCAGACGATAAAGAATGAAAATTCAAGGCGAAAAGTCCTTTGCCGTTTTTCGATACGACGTATAGTTTCCACGCAATTTGAATTAGCGCAACGGACCAATCAGAGCGCGTCATTAGTAGCCGCAGAACATACCTCCCGGGGCCTAATCGCCGCGTAGTATACACATTCGACCCTGCCGCAGCTACCTGAGTATACTATGCGGCCGGCGCGAGGGCCTACTGATGGGGTGCAGCACGATTGCTCCCGCCAGTTAATTTCTAACCCAAATTGCATTGAAACCACTCGTTGCATCAAAAAATGCCAAAGAACTTTTCTTCCTGAATTTTTATTCTCTATCGAATGGTGTGGGTAACGATAACAAAATACTGACCTGTCTTTACACAAATTTTGCATTATCATATTTTCTTCCCGTTTAAAACACTAACAATTATATAACTTATCGTTTCCTATTTAATTTTGTTTATCGTCCGTGATTCGATTCTAATTATTGCTCTTGTCGGTCGTAATTTATTACACATTGTATTGAATGTAAGGTTTAATGAAATTAATTCCTATTGTTCTTCTTTGATAAAAATAACCAGTAAATGTCTTGGCATCGTTCGGATTTATTAGAACATTAGTATCAATGTGAAAAAAATGGAGAAGGGAATTTTGTCTAAAGGTTTTTAAGGGTTTATGCTTTTAATAACGCAACTGTGAATTAGTTACTGTATAAATTACAAAACAAATATCCATGATAAGTAATTTTCCTTGTCTTTGTAGAGCTGACACTTTACATTTATTGCAGCAATTAAACGGTTAGAAAGTACATATCTAGTTAGTACCCCATCATGAATATCGAAGCGGATCCAATGCTTGGTGTAATGAACTAACTTTTTCTTCGAGTGAAAATTGACCTTACGCAGTACTTACTCGCCAAGGTTAATTTTCTTACACTCTGTCTCGTATTACACTGTCCACTATGATTTTAAATTGTCCGATTGTTGTCCATCTTTTGTTTTAACCTTTGTTGATTTAAAAACGAAGTATATAATGTGTGTGTATGATGTAGGAAGGTGAAGTAAATGTATGCACTTCTACGTACCTAACGTAAAGTGAAATGCGATTTGAAATGCTAATAAAATTTGCTAATCGAAGCTAAATGTGAAAAAGCAACGATTTTACAGTAGTTCACGTTATGTTTGTAAAAGTGTATATGTAACAGTTTTATTACCAAACGATTGCCTAATAGTTAATTAAATTAGCATGGGAAGCCATCCCAGTGTATGACTAACGATAAGACTAATCAATTTTAATTATAAAACAGAAGCAACTTATAATTCCACATTTAAACATATGTACATGTTTTACATTTCTTTTAGAAAAAAAAAAGAATTTGTGATTGTCAAATTGTGAATAGAACAAATTCTTATTAAATGCAGCAATTCTCACAGTAGCTTTCTCCTAATCTTGAAGTCCTAAAAGTGTTTCTTTGAAGAATTCTGAATTCAGAAAAAAAAGTAAAAAACGACGCGTTTTGGTGAACCCAAAAGAACCACAATGCGTAATTCCTGTTGGCCACAACGCGTTGCGGGCGGTCAACAATGTAGGCATCTTGCGTTGTGGGTTTCCTTATTGTCATAAAGTGTTTTACGGTTTTCAAACGTGACTTTTTTCATTATCATCATCATCATCATAAAGTCATCAGTCCTAAGACTGTTTGGACACGTACCTCCACTCTTTCCTATCCTGAGTAATCCTTAACTATTTGCGAACAGTAATCTAATCAAGGTCTACTTCTACCCCTTCCATTATATGTATGAATTATTCAAATTGCTTGATTCGTTCCTGATTTAAAACAACTCATTCATGCTTACTGCTATCAAGAAAGTAAAAATCACGTTCACTCAAATGATTTTGACTCACTTCAGTTATGAGTGCTTTCCTTTTAGAAAGTAAGATAACGTTTTACTTCGTATTTTTTACTTTCCGCCTTTCCTTTGAAGCAGAACCTCTTTAATTTGTGCTTATACAGAATTATCCCAGTTGATGGTCTAGAGTTCACCATTATCATAAGTCTGGTTGGAGAAGCACATCCACTTCTTTCTAATATCATGAGCCAATCTTCGCATTTCTCGAAAACCAGAGTATTCAACATCCCTAATTATTTGCGAGGAGTGATCTAATCCAGGATCCCTTCTACTCATATATCTATTTCTGATATCTCTCGAACTAGCCCTTCATGTCGCGTCTATTTCTTTTTGAATCCATGCTTTCTTACTATTTCTAATCTTCTCTGTCCACGGTATCCTCATCGTTTGTCTGTAACACTGTATTTCAAACACTTCTAACCCTTTTCGTTTGCTCAATGATCATGATCAAAATTCATACTAATTACTTTTGACCACAGTCTGTTGATTCTGAAGCTGATGCATTGATCAATTCAAATGATGATGATTGCAACGATAGATAGGCTATGGTCACTGATTATCCATGCTTTGGTTTTAGGCAAACACAAATCAAATACATAATCTTGAAAAACCATGAACCTTGATCGCTCTAATTTAGTTTGATAGTGAGGAAGGCTTCTTCCATCAGCCGCTAAAACGACAAATTTTCACGTATATTTACGAACGCCACTGCTAATGACATTTAGATGATTTTTTTTAAACTAGTTGCGCAAAGTGCACCATCCATTTTCACATTACAACGTAATCGATTCCAGTATAAATCACATTTATTATATTTTCGACAGTAGCCTATATTTGTCTAGCATTGCGTTAGTTATATTGGATACATGGATATGATTATTATTTGTTATTGGTGTTGTTTTCTACGTTAACATACACATTTCACGTGTGTGTGCCTACATTGTTTTACTGATGTGACCCAGTATGATTTATTGATGACCATGTCCGCGGGCATTCAATTTACAAAAAGCTTTACAGATGGTTTCATTTGTTTAATGTAATTACCTATCTAATGTGGCGATATTTCAATTACTGGTAGCGTTTTCGTTGGTCGTTGCCAATAAAGACAAAAAGGCACGGTTGCGTGCAACTAACCGCTGTAGCGCGTTATTAGAAAACCTCCCCCCGGTGGTTGTATACTCATTTATTAATAATACACGGTTAAAGTTCGCTTTTTTTTCTATTACTGCTACGAAGTATGAATACGGTCAGGGTTACTCAGTCTTTTATCACGAACACTACTGTGTCTACATATATGTACCTATATGTCTATGTAATGAATATGGGATAAACTTTTTTGGAAGGTCAAAGCTATAGTTGAGTTGAATATTGGGATCCGTCAAATGGGCATATACCATCTGGTGGCAAAATTTATAACTCGAATGAGGGAAAAATTTACATAGGAACTGTACATGCAAATTGTAAAATTGTTTATTAAAATAATAAAACACGTTAAAAAAGTAAAAATTTTTTTGACGATGGAGTCGACGAAGTTTTCTTCTAAAGTTAAATCAAATAAAAAGTTAATATGCTCAGTGAAAAGCTGCAATAACACTTAAGACATAGTTCTTCACTCTTCACCTACATTAACTACTTTCCAATAAAAACTAACCGTTTTATATATGTAAAAAATATATTCGGAAAATTAGAGAAAAAAGTTAACTAATAGAAGCTTGGATGAAAGCAGTAGGTATCAAAGAAGTGAATTCCGGAATAAAAATGTGTTTACGTCATTTTAATGCACATGATTATGTTTCAGCAAGTATTTACCATCAGCCATAACCTTAATATTTAAAACTAGAATCATACTAAAATTATAAAGTGAGAAATTATTTATTCCTGTGTAATTGATTTAACACAATTCTAATGATACGATATAAGTATTTTGAGGTTAAGAACCTACCTGCTGCAATACAACAAAGTTGCAATAATGTGTTTGCAACGTTCTCTTAAATCGGCTTTGCACGTGCAAGTCATTGATATGATATTGCTTAAATCACCCAGAATCACCTCACCAATTATATAACGTGAATCACTTTTTAAATCCGAAGTTTGTAAAAAGTAGGCAGTAAACTTGACGGAATTTGAAGGCTAGCTTCCGGATTTGTTATTTCCGAATTTTATAATGTGATTGGCATTAAAAACACGCTCACCTTCAACGAAATTTCCTTTCCGAGGCTTTGTGTCAGCCCAATCACATATTGTATCAATACTTATCATTTTATCGTAATTTAAAAACTTGGAAATTGCACGGTACACTATAGGAACTACGATAAATTTTCCCTAATCGGCGCCATGTTTTTAGGCTCCTCCCTTTTGACGGATCCCAATTAATCCATCCAAATTTGCACTGTTGTGCTAGTAATCGTAAATAGGGATGTAGCAGGGAAGGGTGCGGGTTTC